GCATGAGAGCCTTCGATGCTCTTGAGGACATCATGATAGCCACTCCCTCAGTGTGCTCGTGGTTGGCGTCTGGGTGACCGGAGTAGATTATTGATTCTCCAGTTGACAGTTTGGAGAGTCCACTCCCATTCCATCTGCTTTCGCAAATCCCAAGCACTTCGATGTTATACCTTCTCATCTCCCTTGCAATCTGGGCTGCCTTACTGGGTTCAAACATCGTACGGACATTCCATGTCCCCACGTTAACTTTCGCTTTCATCGAGAGAAGACACATCGGCCAATTGGCTTCCCGAAGGCTTTCACCAACTGGCGTCATTTCGCCTCTCCGATTCCAGCGGGGAATAAGTTTGTTTTCATTTTTTATATTTTGTTTGTGCTTTGAAGTTTCTTTAGCGGTTAGATTTGTTTTACGGGGTAGGGTTGCTAGCCCTATGCCCAACCTTCCCTCTTTACCCGGGCTTAGGACCGGCTAGTAACTAGTAAACTAGTTAACCAGGCGAGGTTATCATATAACATACAGTTGTTGAATGAGTTTGATGAAGATTTGTGGTACTCCGTAGTGTTGAAGCAGTTTCCAAATTATTTCTCGGTGGACGCTATCGATGATCTTTTTAAAGTCGATGAAGTTGACATAAAGAGTTTCCATTCTGCCATTCTATGCTTTGTTCTATGATGATGTGTAGCGTAGCGTTGCAATTTGATCCGCACATAGTTTGTTCTTCCTGAAGCTAGCCAGCCAGCCTGTTCCGGTCGTAATTTTGAATCCCGTGCATCTTTTAGTCTCTCCAGGATGATGCGGCTTAATATTTTGTTTGGTGTGGACAAGCGTGGAGCATGATTCCGTGCCAGTTCTTGCAAAGACTTAGCTTAGGTCACCCTATTTTGGGAGTTTGATCAGGTAGCCCTTGTTCTAATTAATCAATGGGCAGGTACCTTTACTTCCTTCCTTCCTTCCTTGCAAATCTTTTACAATAGTGATGTGAGCATGTCTGCTGATGTTTCTGCATCTGTTTTCAGTACTTCTGAGGGAATTCCATCTCGTCCTGCTGCTTTCCCGTATTTCAGCAACTTTATGACGTTCAGGACTTGACTACTGCTTTTGTCAGAGGGTTTATGTTCACTGGTAATTTTGTGACTGGGCTACTGGTGGTATTTCTGTTCTGGGTGTTGAACTTGAGTTGTGGTCTGCCATCAGCTTCTTTGAAGGCTTTCATCTTGATTGTGAAAGTAGGTTCCTTGTACTAGATAGTGAGTGGTGTGAACTTTTATCAGCTCCTCTTCTTGATCTGATCTTGTGTCCAGTAGGTTGCGTCTCCACTTTCTTCAGACTGAGATGAAGTCGATCTGATTTTTAATGTGTCCTGGTGTCTGGTGAAATCCGTGTCACTTTGTGAATATCCTTGTGCTTGTACACACTTCCTCCAATCACCAAATCACTGAATGCGCATAAATCTGTAAACAGTTCTCCATTCTCATTCATTTCACCGAGTGCTTCTCGACCAATGATCAGTTCTCTTCCTGTGTTGGCCACTGCGAGTTTGGCATTTATGTTGCCCATTAGAATTTTGATGTCGCCAACTGGGATAAGGTCTTGTCCATTACTGATTGCAGTTGTCTATAAAATTCCACCTCCTTCTCTTGATCTGTATTATTTGTAGGTGAATAGCGTAGCATTGTATGATTGTGACCTTCATTCCTTTTGGTTTGAATCTTGCTGTCATGATGGTGATCCTGGTCGTTGAGGAGATTGGTTGCCACTGCATGAGAGTGAGCCTTCGATGCTGTTGGGGATATCATGATAGCCACTTGAATACTCAGTGTGCTCATGGCTGTTGTCTGGGTGAGAATATTGGAGCAGATAATGGACCCTCCAGTTAAGAGTTTGGAGATTCCACTTCTATTTACTCTCCAGATTCCTCGAAGATTCCTTGTACTTCTATGCTATATCTTCTCATCTCTTTTGCAATCTGGTCAGACTTGCTAGATTCAAACATGGTGCGGACATTCCATGTCCCCAAGTTTACTTTCGCTTTCATCGAGGGAGAGAAGACACATTGGCCAACTGGCTTCTCGAAGGCTTTCAGCAACCAGCGTCATTTCGTTTCACCAATTGCAACAAGGAATATGTTTATTTCTTTTAAATATATTTTGTTTGTGCTTTGAAGTTTGTGTAGCGGTTGGATTGGTTTTCTGGGGTAGGGTTGGTAGCCGTATGCCCAACCTTCCCTCTTTATCCGGGCTTAGGACCGGCTAGTAAACTAGTGAACTAGTAAGCTAGTCAAGGTTGACTTTGTTACGAGAGACCCCTAATTAGACGTAGAGTATGCAGATAGCAGTCTTGTTAAGTGAAGACGCTGACGAAATGTAGAGTCTTCTCAACATATTAAATGACTATTTGGGAATGTTTGAGGTGCGTTTTCCATTACCCAGGTGCTGATTGTTGCAGCAAGACGACTGGTTTGAGTTACTGCCTAGTTTTAACAATACAGCAAAGTTGTCGAGCTCACTGACCTTTTATGAACAGTGACAGCGGGCATCTCAGAGGACATCACTAGTTGTCGTCATTTCTGACGAAAACTCTTCATGAACCCCTACAGGGCTGCATGAGTTCTAGTAGAGAGCTTTGATTAGCTCTACCTAATTTCTCGGTACTCCCTGGAGTTAGAAACCGGCACAACATCTCATCGACGACAGAGTCAAGCGCCGCCTTCAAGTTGAGAAATTCGGCAAATGTCAGCCTCTGTGAGTATACTCGTGTTTTACGATTTACCGAAGAATGAAGATTCGGTCTTCCAGGCCTCATACCTGCGAGGTCTTCTCGAGTTTGTTGTTCTCGAGCTCCAGGTAGGTGTCAGATAACTGTGAACCAAAGTGTCTTGGGAACTTAGTTAAACTGACTCCTTTATGGTTGTCATAAGAATATCTTGTAAACTGGATTGATCAATGATGTAGACCATTGCGTTGAGACTACCTCTGATTCCAATACGCTACGCATTACTTCCATTACTTTACGGATTTTTTTTACCTCCTTCCTTAAAAACTTTTGGTGGCAAACTGTCAGATCTTGCTGCTTTGCATGGTTTCAGGTCTGAAACTGTCGTCTCAAATTTGAGATTTCGAGGATCGGTATCTACGTCCTGTTGGGGTTAGCGTCTGTATGCTGAGCAACTAAAGCTTTGTTGTGGGTCAGTTGAACTGGGCTTCAAAGTGTTTCATCCAACGTCGTAGCTCTTCACCCTTTTCGGTGATGATTTCATTTACAAGTGTCTTCTTCTTACCGATATTCTTAATAAGCCTAATTAATTACTAAGTATTGTTCAATGAAGATACCTTCTCCATTTCTGTGACTTTCGCTACCCACCACTACTCGCGTTCGTTGCGAAAGTTTTTATCAATTAATGTTTAAGACGCTTCTGTTCCTCATTAGGGTTTGAGCCAGCTGGAATAAGTCTTCTGACTTCGATTAGTTCGGATGACGTTGCGGAAATCCAATGACTCCTGTTAACCTTCGGCTGTAGGTCACCAACTATCTTTACTGCTGTTTCTGCACTGGAATCATACCAGGTTTCCTTAGGGTGGGAATTACTGTGGCGTTCAGATGAATGCTCATTTAAATCCTACCTAAGTACGCACTTGACGTTCTCATCTTTCAATCAAGCAAAAAGCAGACTATACTGCTGCCAGTTTTCTGCGACTAGTGAGGCACAGATATACATATACCCGTAGTAACATAGGATCGGAGTTTAAACACCTGCTCTAGAAAGAGCGGCAATCCTCCACCAATCCTCTTCATCAATAGCAATATGATGTATCTGCATCCATCATCGGTTCGGTGCTGGCAAGCACCCAGTGAGACAGTATCTCTTCTTGTGCTTGAAGTTAGTGCTGGCTGTAAACAAGTGATTGTTGGGACAAAATTTTAAGAAATGATCACTGTTGTCGCTTCGTTGGCATAGGATTCCATAGATACCTCCTAGATGTCTTTCCGATTGGCTCAGATTTCCTACTTGAGCATTGAAGTCACTTGCCATTATGAGTACATCTAAACATTTTACTTTCTGTGGGAAAGTTGATAGCTTTTCGTAGAGTTCATCCTTTGCATTATCCGAACCGCAGTCGGACATCGGCTAGTCTCACGATCTTTCTTAGTTCTTACAGATCCATTCAGTGGAACAGCATATAAAAGACTGTTGATTAGTATCTGGCCTCCGGATACCTGTAAAGTGGATTTTGCAGACTCACTACAATGGCCAGGTGAGATTAATTTAATAACCACACTTTGACCCTGTATACGTGTCTCTGACACAGCATACGTAAATGGCTCTAGATTTCAGAGTTCTGGCGGTCGATGACTGATGTCTGATTTAGCACTTAGTTTGGATGTTGGAGGGTTCAACGTGGACTTGAGTGCGGAGTGTTAAGAGATGGGTTGAGGCTTCCATGGCTTCGGTCGTTAACAATGGTCTTAGAATGAGAGAATGGAAATGGTGTAATAAATCTAGTATTAGTATCAGGAAGTGAAGGCAACGGTGGAGACAGAGTTGAGGAGGATAGGTTATGTTCGATTGGGTCTTGTGTACTATTAGAAACGTGCTGGTGGTTGACACTTCCCGGTTGGCCACTCCATAGAAGGGTATTTCTTCTTGGGGGGTAACTAAAAGAGAAAAAGACTTGTGTGACCGCAGAGCCTATGGGACATCTGCATAAGGTTAGGTATACGTAACACATTTCATGCATCTCAGTTGACTAAGGCCTACAAACTCATTAAGTAAGTCTTTTACTTGAAGCCATACACCAAGCCTCTACATTATCAGCATGGGGTTTCCGCAACATATGAGCAGTAGTATGAAGGAAACGGTGGTATGAATTAGGCAGAGATGATTTTGAGCAATTATTTTATCAAATGTCTTACTTTTTCTAGTTTGTACAATCTTTATGCCTAACTGCGTAGCACTGAGGTTTGAAAAAGTAACTTTTTAACTTTCTTGTCTATTTTATAGGCTCACGGTCATCTCAGCTATAAATGTGAAAAAAATTCACTAGGTGAACGTGAACAACCGGTGAAAAAGCGTAAACTTCGTAAGAAGATAGAGTAAGTTTCATACAACCCGTGTAATAATGTCATAGCAGGCAATCAGTTCTCTTTGTAGTAGTCCTGCTGGCTTGGTGCTTATGAGACACTCTTGTATCATCCAGTGCATAGTTCTTATGATTGTTCTGGAAGAATTCGGGTTGTGATTCCGATTTCATCATCATATAAATATGTCTTAATATACTTCCATTATGTATAAGGAATCAAAACAGGATTTTTTAAAAATGTTTCACTGTGTATGCTACAGCTTTTTCTGAAGAAGCTTTAATGATGACTTTCTCATGTTTATATATTATCTATGAATCTATTATTCAGTCGAGTTTCTGTTGTCGTACTGTTAGAAAAATGTTTGCTGGGCTATTTTCAAAATATATTCTATATAGTAGTAGATTACAAGTAACGGTGCACACACCACAACTAGTGGTGCGTAATCCTGATCTGTCCCTCAAGTATTCTTGTTAGTGAGATTTGGATCAAGCCATCTACATCTTTTTGACCTTCCATATCCATAGGATAAGTGTATGCTTTTGGCCTGTAATTTAGATGGGAGTATTTTTTCGGTATACAAAAGCTAGTCACTGACTCTAAACAAAGATAGATATTTTGAGGGGGTTGTGGAGATTTGGAAATATTTCAAGTTGTTGTTCATCGAAGACTGACATCAGTTGGAGGAACAAAGGAAACCTGGGAGCACTGGACAGCTGTTTCGTCCTAGTATGGGACTCCTCAGCAGTGCGCAACCACGACCCCACCAGCAGGGACCGAACCCGCGACCTTCAGGTTCCGTGGCCAGCGCGTTACCATTGAGCCACTGGGTCAGAATCCAATGCTCCATATTTCCAACTTCTGTTAGCTCACGATATAGGGCGAACCGCCACCTAATGTCATCGTTGACCTAGTGGCTCAATGGTAACGCGCTGGTCGCGGAACCTGAAGGTCGCGGGTTCGATCCCTGCTGGTGGGGTCGTGGTTGCGCACTGCTGAGGAGTCCCATACTAGGACGAAACAGCTGTCCAGTGCTCCCAGGTTTCCTTTGTTCCTCCAACTGATGTCAGTCCACGATGAATAACAACTTGACATATTTCCAAATCTCCACAACCCCCTCAAAATTTAATTGAACTGGTGCTCATTGGTGACTAGCTTCGAGAAGTATTCCCGAAGTTCCAATGACAAGTCGTGACCGGTGGAGTCAAAGCCTGATGGCCATGAGGACAGATACTCAACGATGACATTGGGTGGCGGTTTGCGCTATATCGTGAGCTAACAGAAGTTGGAAATATGGAGCATTGGATTCTGACCCAGTGGCTCAATGATAACGCGCTGGCTGTGGAACCTGAAGGTCGCGGGTTCGATCCCTGTTGGTGGGGTCGCGGGTGCGCACTGCTGAGAAGTTCCATACTAGTTGGGCGAAACAGCTGTCCAGTGCTCGCAGGTTTCCTTTGTTCCTCCAACTGATGTCAGTCTTCGATGAATAACAACTTGAAAGATAGATATGATTGTAAACGTAGGTTTAATTAGTTGGAAAGTGATTTGTGCGGAATTTTGTCCAACTGATTTTTAATCTATGGTTGAGGATTCAGTTAAAAAACTGAGCTTTTGAATTGCTTTCATTGTTCAGTAATTGTGAAGTTCTATAACTGGTTCTATGTAATAAGTTTGTTGAACATATCATATAATGAATCTATCTACTGAGTGACATTCCGAACACAATCTATTTTTCATATTCATCCAAAGGTAACTGCACATCTTTTACATCTTCTTGTTATGGTTATATTTCTACTGTTTTATTTGTCGTACAGATAGTTGAGTTTTACATATATCTAGAGTAGGTATTGAGTCATTCCTATAGCACATGTGTTCGATGCTAGTGTGATAAGCAAAGCTTCAGTTGTCAACCTCTCCCTGCAACCTTATAACTTAGTTTTTAAGATTAACGCCTTGTCCCATCCTATTGTGTGATTGTGTGACAGCATGAATCACAAGATCGGCTTCTCTGTAATATTGATCTTAGTGACTAGCAGAGGAATCCATGACGCGCATTTGGTCCTATTTAGGACTCTTCAGCTGGATGTGCCCCAGTGAGTGATGTTCCCACTGGACCTCGGACCTAATACCCTCCGCTTCAAACGCCAGAGCGTTATCCACTAAGCCACCGGGACAACAGAGGTCGAGCGATTCAGCCCTGTGTAACCACAGGAAATTAAAAGTATAACTATAATAACTGATACCCGTAGCACAAGAGGTGGCTATTGTGTCCCAGTAGCTTATTGGATAACGCTCCTGCATTTGAAGCGAAGGGTACTGGGTTCCAGCTTCAGTGGGAAAAATATCACTCACTGGAATGCAGGGATATCCAGCTGACGAGTCTCAAATTAGACTCAACGCGCGTCCTGGATTTCTCTTCTAGTCACCAAGATCGATATAACATCATGAATATCCGGCACTATCAAAGTATCCGGATAAGAACCCATCTACCAACAGAGGTCGAGCAATTCGGCCGTCTATAGGAACTAGAAGTTACAAGTATCATTACAGCTTTTCTCTAAATTTCCTACCTTATCCTACCATGGTGCATTAGTTCTGCTTTTATACTATATAATTGTACTACTTAAATTTTATATCAGTGACATATTATAAACTTCAGGATCAAAATTTGACCTGTTAGAGTTGAGTAATTTGAGCATTGGGTAAATGGGATATAAATGAAATATATTTGTAAATTCCCACTGAGGTAGAAAATTACATTTCTGATGTTTCGTAACTTCGTGGAAATCGCTTCTTCAGAGAGTAAAACTTGTACAAATTATCGACTGTTCCCCATTTACTATTTAAACAGTTGATCATTTGTACATGTTTTTCTCTCTGAATAAGCGATTTCCACGAAGTTACGAAACGTCAGAAATGTATTTTTCTACCTCAGTAAAAGTTTACAAATATATTTCATTTATATCAGTAGTATAGTTAGATATAGTGAAATATTTCACGTGTAAGTTGTCATTGTATTTTCTGCAAGCTTTGTTCTACTTTGTTTTCTTCGTATAACTTTTCGTTTGCTTTTTAAGCTTCTTCATTTATGGTTATTCTGCTCATAATTGTACTTACTTGAAAGTGCTTCAGTCTACTAGAGACTTTATATCTTTAAACTTTGGTTAATAAGAAAAGTGGTATGTCAGTATTCGTCAATATGCAATCAAACTTGCTTAATTCATTGAAAATTATTTTTCACTAAAGCAATACATGGCATTTAATAAAGCTATAGGTAATTCTAAACTGTTGCCGTGATGATTATTTATAGATTGAATGGAAGCGTAATTCACATTGTATCGAACAACAAACGGTATAAAGGAAAGCACGTGGGATATCATTCATGTACCTCAGACTAGAATTTCACTCCTCATGGCACTATAAAAAGGGAAGATCAGCAAAAGAATAAATATCTTACAAAAAACAATTGAGCAATTTGAAAGTATTTCGCTAAAAACATAAGCATATCATTGACAACTATGAAATAAACAATATTAATGTACTTAATAATGATGGATAGTGGCTGGTAGTGGAATCGAAGACGCACGTTTTGTCCTATTTGAGACTCGTCAGTTGGACGTACCTACATCCCCAGTGAGTGGTGTTATTCCCATTGGGACTCGAACTCGGGAACGATCGCTTTAAACGCCAGAGCGTCGTTATAATTACTTTTGTGATGAAGTTTTACACACAACAGTTGGTTTGATCACGGGTAGTAATTTCACTCGAAATATTACCAAAACTAAATATTCATTACAAATATATTAATAATAAATTGACTCTTCATAATTCACAAATTTTACATGAACATAATTGATATCAATGGACTTGTAGTTGTTAAAAACGGCGAACGAAATGAATAGTCACCCCTGCCAAAAGAGTTTCTTCTACAAAGTACATCTCATCGTTGTAAATACATCCATTTCCTAATTTTGTATCAACTCTACATGATATACAGTTTTTTATAAAGTAAACGGTTGGATAGAATGTCATATTAGATAAAACAGCATACGGAATTCAAAACATACTCTTTATCGACAGATTCGTACTTCTGGGGATGTTAGATCTCCCAAAATAAGCACTTTACACCTTAAATTGGTTAATTTACTTAATAGAAATTTGAATTGACCTTTTTCTACCGAATCTCCTGACCCCTTTTGAAGGCACTGTTCTCCCATTGGTTATTCTTCCACTTTTAAAATTGTAACTTGCCTGCCTACTTTCTTCAAATGTTTTCTTCATTATATATAAACGCATGAACTGTGCCCCTGTGCTCATACTCCTATGAAGTCCAGTATAGTTTTCTCCCTTGTGTTACTGGAGCAAGTTATTGAGTATCATATTTCTTCACTCGGTATCCAGATTACGCGTCCCTAGTTAATGTAATCCGCCTATGTTCAATAAAATTTTCTGAATAAAATGAGTGTATTCTAAGATTATGAAGCTTCTATTCAATTACAAACAACCTAAAATGAACTGAGTACATAGATTTGCTACCCAGCAGCATCAATATCAATATTGGCTAGGTTAAATAGCTAATAACATGCACGTAGTGTAATTAGATTCGTAATGATTGCATAAATAGCTATATACAAGGTGTGAGACCTAATTGTCTGAGGTTCATCCCAACATGAGGTCACAGGTATGCGCTGCTAAGAAGTTTTAAACTAGGGGAAAAAAGCTATCCCCTACACTCATTTTTTCAATGGTTCCCTGACTGATATCAATGGGAACCTCTTTAATGTGCACTGAATGATGAAAAGTTGATAGTATTCATTATGTACTGGAGCGCTATTGAACCTTTCATTGCCACGATGAATAATTGACTATTTATATCGGTTATAGTGTAGATCTGATCATCTATTTTCAGGCTATATTACAGATCCCGAAACAAAAATATAATTTCTGATATTTTCGTAAGATTACCGTAAGTTTTGGACTTGCTTTTATTACATTTCATACTTATCCTGTACTCCTTATTTCACTGGATGCTTCACATCTAGTTCATCATTTATGTTATCTTTTCTGGAGTTATGGCTCATTGGTTCAGAGAGATGACTTTCAATCAATGGGTCACGCGTTCGAACACCGCTCCACCTGCCGAGATTTGAACAGCCAGATAATATCATACACTATAGGTATGACCCGTTGCCTACTCCACGTATGTAGACACGAGGTTGTTGAGTGGGTTTCAATTTTTTTCTTCTTTTCTATCTGTCTCAAGAACATTCTGTTTGTATCATAACTACTTCATTATACGTATTGTTCGAAGGATTTCTGTTCAATCCAAGAATTGGTTTTCTTCACCGTGTTAGGTAGACTGTGTCAGTTAGTTAATATCGACATGGGACCTGAAATTACTGGATAACAATCCAAGTTACCACATCTCATAATTAGCCCATCAAACTAAAGGTACCAAATTGAGGAGCTAGATAAAAAAATCAAAGTGGTAGGAAGTCATCATAAGACAGTAAGAAGGAATAAAGCAATGATGAAATTCGGTATGATGATTAAAAGAAAGATAATGTATGTATACATCTGCACCATGGAGACTGATTCTGAACCGTATCACCCTTAGTTTCCAACCACCGATTTTAGTGTGTTATATTAGGAATTGTTATGCGTTCACTGTCGAGTGATTCTTATCTTCAATCTAGAGGTTTATTAATTGACTTCAGGTTGGAATTCATCATGGACTGACATCAGTTGAAGGGAGATGGGAAATCTGGGAGGACTGGACAACTGTTTCATCCAAATATGGGACTCCTTGGGAGTGCGCACCTTCGACAATGCTCCACCAACTATCGAACTCACCACCTTCAGGTTGCCTAACCAAGCACCTCACCGCTGAGCCATTCCGTCGGAATCCAGCTGTCCACATTTCTTACTTCTGTCAGTTCATTGTTTTCTTTTGTACAAGTACTTCTGTAAGGGAGATACTTAGCGAAATATTTATTGGCTAACTGATTAGTGTTGAAGCAATCCAATGAATAACGCATCTCTGTGATTGAGTATAGGCATATTTTGTAGATCATAAACCACATTTTATATATGAGAGTTATTGATAACGCTGAATTATTGGGGCTATAACTGGTAGAGCACAGATTTCTCTTGAGCCTCAAACCGATTGCTTAAGAGTTAGGTGCATAAACCTATGAGTTACAGCTTTGCAAATCAAACATTCGAGTGTCAGAATCGAATCATCCTCATAACATTGGTAGTAATTTGACTGGATGGTTATCCGGGTCGTAGGATGTACCAGAACTAAAACTGTAAGACAATTAATGACTTGTTGATTAGTTTATTGCTTGTTTTTTCCCTTCTTTTCTGTTTTCGGCGCCGGATGGTCGAAAGGAAACGACAAATGAACCAACAGCGCCGGCCCGGCAGACCGTGGGGCATGGCGGAGTGTGTTATTTTTGGGGCCGGTCTTTTCTAACCTCCCCCTTCCACTGAGAAGGCAGCATCAGCATGGCACTGCTGGTCATCCAAGGGAAACACCTTACTGCTGTCACACCCCATCCAGCTAGCGGCAGTACGACTTCACCCTCAGACCACCATCATAGTGCAGCAATCCACACCACAACGGTAACTGCTTTCCTCTAACCACTATCCAACAGACCTTTCTGGTATGGTAGGACCTCGAGGGAACAAGCGTTCGACCAGCATAGCTCGTTGGGTCATTGTGATATGCAAGCCCCACCACCACGTCAAGGTAGCAGCTATCGGTCATCATTTTTTCATTCCTCCTTTCTTTCTTCTCGTACTTTATATTTCTTTTGACTTCATTCTCTTATCTTCATGCTTCACCTCACTACCTTTCTACTTGATGTACTGATATGAACTGTGGAAACTCGGACCGTTACGCAGTAATTCCTGGTCCTATGTTGATATTGATTGATTTTCCCCTTTTTAATCTTCTTAACCCCTCAAAACCGTTTGTTGGTTAGTCTGAACTCATGTCTTTGTATGTACATTATACAGTATATCAGTCTAACGTCAAAGTTATGCTCAGTTAACTAATTTCATCTCATTTTAGTAACTGTTTAATCATAATTTTACTCTATAAATTAAATGCCTAAATTGCATTTATTATCATGCTTATGAATTGTGAATGTTATAACTGTAAATCTTGTCATTACAGCTCTTCTCATTCTTCTGCGTCGAATTCACACGATAAAAGAAGACAGGAAGTGCATGATGACACGGAAGATGACGATGGCAAGGAAGATAGTGATATAGATGATGAGTTGGATAGTTGGAGTGCAGCTGTACAACATCAGGCAGAACTTTACAATAGACAGACATCATCTGAATGTATGACGAAGAAACGATGTATTCGACAGAATTCATATTTTTCAGATGAGGAGGATTTCGAAGAAGCATAATTATGAAACCATCAAATTTTCAAAGTGAAATTCAATCTCTGTCCCTCGCTGTTATTTATGAACGCTTCACCTGCTTGTTACATTGTTCTTATTGATGGTGAGTATCTGTAGACGAATTCATGAGTATTCTGCCACACTGTATTCTGAAGCATGGTTTTGTGTATAGTATCAGCGTTTTCATTGTTACATGAATTTTTGAAAACTTGTTGATAAATTGAATAACGGTACTGATTGGGCATTTGAATGTAGATAAGACTTGAATCTAGTAGCAGCATTATGAAACGACCAAAGTGAGAGATAGGCTAGTGAGTTGACAATAAGGATCTATTTTAGAGATGAACTAAAGCGAAGATAGTGAGAAAGTCAGGAATAACTGGGTATAAAAGTAATCAGAAGTTCAAGGATTAAAAGAAATGTGCTTACGTCGATTCCAGCTAAGTTAACCCATTTCTTTATGCACTTGAGGGTGGGAGATATATACTCAAACGGCTATAAAAGCAACTAGATTCACAAACATCGATAAACACCGGTGGTTGACAGTTATCATCATCGATTGCAAAACGTTTAATTGATGAAGGTCAAAGGACTGATATTAAAAAAATGACCTTTACAACTTTGTATGGAAACTGTCTGGGGCGTATACCTAGGCATGTTGAAGCGCTAGCTGTACACAAATTCAAGCCCTCGTTGTGTGTTCAAAATCAGTTTGTCCTTACGCTAAACCTACCCTGGCAACACTTTTCAAATCGTTTTCTCAAGGTTGTCTTCAAATGTTATCATTCTTCCTTTATCACCTTACTAATAAGTTCCTGTATACTGAATGATGGTTGAAGGTGAAATGAAAATCTGGGCAGTGGCAGGATTTGGACAGGTGATCACCGGATATCCGACCCTATGCTCTGAGCTACGAGACCTGACTTCTGACCAGATTTCTATTTCACTTCAATCATCGCCTAATATCAAAGCAAGTTTGACAAACCAATCTGCTTCTACTAACTGCGTTAACCGAATTCATAAACGGGGCTTATTTTGTTTCAATTTTTCTATCTTCTTCACCCCAATCGGTGAATAAACACTTTTCACAAAAAACATTCGGTAGCTTTATAGATAAGTAGTACGTTTTTCTGTGACCACTGATTAATCTATCGTTATTATACTCCAATCGTATTACACTTTGAAGTGGGTAGCCGCTTTGGATGCGTATTGTAAACTTCAACTGCTTTGTTGTCTTTGGGATAAAATCTCAACATCTCTTTCTCTTGGATTATCTCAATAAAAACTTGTACAACGATTTAGATTACAATCACTCTTATGTTCAATAAAAATCAGATGATTTGCTTACATCGATTCCATGGTTCCTGTTAACTGGATGTAGCAACTCCAAGCTGATGATACTTAAGATTCACTCTTTATCTAGTCAAAGATGAAAGCGAGAATAATTCACTTACCTTATTATACTACGTGACAGAAATATACCTGGAAAGCTAACAGAGTGGAGCGATAACTGAATCTTTGTTTATCGTATCGTATCAACGCGTAATACATGCAATAGGAATGAACTAGCACATATTCTAGATATCTGGAGAATCCCACTACTCATATCACTAAGGCTACAAGGAAATTAAGATTGTTTAATGGGTTTCTCAAAGTTGTGCAGTTATCTTGATGTGACTATTGACAATAAATTATGTCTTTATGTCGGTTGCCTTGTGTTGATCCCTATGACTTCGGCCTTGGCTTCGTATCCCTTCCAATCTCCCTAAAGATGCAAGACATCGCATCTTATCCATTGCTGAAGCCATAGAAATCAACGTAAAAAAACCGGAGCTGTGTATTCAAAAGAAATAAATTATGTATGAAACGTAATCCAGTAAACAATACTGTTCCATTATGGGATACTTCTAATAAATCAACTAAAGTGGAACCAAAGTCTTAACTTATTATTATTATTAAGTAATTTATATCAAATAAACAAGAAAATGAAACAACAATTCGTTTCCTGTGTTAACCATGACCTGATTAACAGTTTCTGCATTTCATAAGTTTGTTGTCTAACCTTGTGTCATATTGATATTCTTCCATTGAAAAGGCGTATACATTTATTTATATGAGCAAACTTGATGTGTCCTTATTCCCTATGATAAAAAAAAACTGGGTTAATAATTGTATATCAAAATCCGTGTTGTCTAGTTTCTACCTAATATATTTACATCCGTTGCATTTTTGATATGTATTTTATGTGAATATGATTGACTTTTATTCTGCTTCATTCAAATCAACATTTGTTCACGGCCTGCTAATGGTGTTAATTTCTTGCATATGGTAGTCAGGAACCTAGAATTTCAGAGATCCAAATTCCCTCATCAAGTGCTACATCCACAGACATTACCAAATAGTCTTTTTATATTATATAGCTCTCTTGACTGTAGCACTGGATGATACGGGTCCAATTCTCTAAAAGAGCATCCATCCAACTGAAGTCGCGTATACATCTTTGTGCAAACGGTTATGAAATCTAGGTTCAGAGTTTCCTACCGATTGCCTTCAACTGCATAGCATGAATCACAACGCATCGTGATAGTGGATCTTTCAGTTTGGTGATCATATTACTAAAGAGTTGGTAGAATTCTGTTGGCGTATAGAACTAGGCAACATGAGATCGCTTACACCTAAGTGGCTAGTTGATATTAGGTGTGTTATTGTTTTATCTGAACACTACCCAACAGTTTAAAGAGAACTGGATGTTATCACAGGGGGTCGATCTATCTATTAATGTAAGATAGGTAGTTTGAGAACTGATCTCAGTGGTATAGATGCATTCAAATCTCTTCAGCTTTATTGTTGTATTGCATATCTGCATTTGCTTTCTCCCCTCTTTTTATTATCTCATGGCCTTTTACGACTTGTGAGTATCCTATTTCCATCCTGTTGTATTTCGTCCAACTGCCTTATTTCTTGAGGCGAGTTGTGACATTTTCAACACCTACACAGCAATGTCAAGTCTCACGTCTATATTTACTGACTACTCACATAGCCTCTGAAGTTGATCTAATGCGGCGATAAAATTACTTCAACTTTTATTTTTCAACTAGATCAAGTTTACTTTTATTAGATAGTGCGGTGGTTCTCATTGTTGGTTTGTATTTCAATTCATGAAATAATGAAAGCCTATAATGTACTATGACTTTTGATTTTGAGAGGAACAACTTTGTCTATACTCTAGAATTCAGTATTTCGTCATACCTCAAATAAATAAATCAACATATAGGGTTAATCCAGAATGATTAGCATATTTGCCGAAATCCATAAATGTACAAGTCCTAAAAGTAATTGGATAACTTGGTCAGTGTTAAAAGTGAATAAGAATGACCAATTACAACAACAAGTGCATTTCAACTAGCATTGGTTACTGTCGCTAACGTACCATTTTCATCTTTAGCATATGAAATGATTATTTCGACAAATCCAGTGACGATGTCCCACTGTGGATCCATGTTCTTTTAAAGAAGTGGACTGATTTCTAAAATGTAATGTAACTTATCAGTTTCAGTATTCACCCTTCAAACAGTCTATTCGAAGCTTGAATACAACCTTGCTTACAAATATGCAGAAGAAAGTGGAGATGGATTGGGCATACACTGAGAAGGCCGACTGGGGACATCACGCGACAGGCCAGACCGTCGAGTGGAACCCAGATGGGAAGCGACGAGTTGGGTGTCCGAGGGTGACATGGAGAAGATGGTGTGAGGAGGGAATGAGAGCTTCTGAGCTGTCGTGGAGCCAGGTTCAAAAGATTTCAGAGAACAGAGTGGAATGGAGACTTGCTGTTGAAGCCCTTTGTTCCATTAGGAACCCAAGGGACAAATAATAATAATAATATCGAAGTTTGCTGATATTTGTAGTAATGATAGCCGTTACAAAATGGGGCGTTGCTCACAACCTAACGCACTTTGTTAACTTTTAAAAATGTATCCTCACCTTTGACTGTCTCAGTGAGCGCATTGTTACGCGTCTGTTTCGTTGATTTACAGTATAATGTGGAGCAGATACCTTAAAATAAACGTCTTAATCTAATTCAATGACCGCCGGAAATTTCGTGAACCAGGTATAATGATCGAAACTTATTTTGCCAAGACTTATTATACTACCTAGTTACTGAAACGTTTTTCCATTTGGTTACTCGACTGTTTAGACTACTCAGCTAATACTGTACATTTATTATAAAAAACAATTTCAGACTTGTATCAAACTTGGGGGTTTAGATAACTCAATGAATTTGGTGACTTTTGCTAGAAATCAATGTATTCTATGAAATAAGACTGAAGATAAGACATTTCTGTTTCATACTACTTAAAAATATTTAGTAGGTCAAATAAAACCAATGACTACTGAATGGAAAATTTAAATTATCAGTTGAATTTGGATGTAAGTAACAATATTGATAATATGAAAAAGCTTGGACTCTGAATATTTTACGCTTGACTGTGCTGTTAAACCGATAGAAAATAAGGACTGATTTGTGACAAGAAGAAGGTTTTTTATGAGTCAGAAATACATCATATGTATGCCATTTGCATTCATAATAATAATAATATTCGTTAAGTGAACAATTGAATCCTTTATGTGATCGATTCAGTGAATTGTCGAAGGGAGAAATTGGACCAGTTTTAAGCCATTCGCAAAATGTTAGATTTTAAGAAAGTTATATAATCCTTTCTTGTTCAACCAAAAAGTGTATTGTTTGAGTTGGGATCATGAGCGGCGTTTTTTTTCCTTCAGTGTATTAATTAAATGTATATGTTGTCCAAAACAAAAGAGATATCACATTGCATATGTTACAAAATATGTATTCTGATGAGTTAAATGTTTAAAACCGGTGAAGTGGTTCAATAATATGATTAACAATGAATAGAATATTGAACTGAAAAGCGAAATTATGAATATTCAGGAGTATCACTTTCTTTTGGTAGGCTAAGCTTTTGCGGTTTAGACACCCAACT